TTCCTATTTTTCCATTTTCTCATATTAATCTCATTCCCTTCTGTCCTTTCCCCTACCCCTCCCACTTCCTTCCCCTTTGCCCCTTTTCTTCCTATTTCACATTACCTATTATACATTTTAGTCCTTATTCTTAGACTGTATTCTTGGCATTATTTCTACAGTCTTGATTCTGAGTTATTTCCATGTGTAGCTTAATGGCTTTTATTTTCTTTTTAAAACTAGGTGGTGTGGCACTCCATGCAAGATGAATTTATACGCCAGTACAAGCACTTTGAAGGCTTGATAGCTCGATGTTACCCTGGATCTGGTATTACAATGGAATTCACGATTCAGGATATTCTGGATTATTGCTCCAGCATTGCACAGTCCCACTAAAGCTTTTGAAAGGAAAAAAAGATAAATAAATAAAGCACTCTTGGTACACCAGACACTATGAAAAATAAGAGCTGCTTTGAGAACCCAGACTTTCACATTTTTGTATTATTAAATGTCGGATAAATAAGTAGTACTATACTACAAATATTTAAGTGCAAAAATACCAACCTGTGTGGTCATTTTATTTGCTCAATAGGTTGTATACTAACTTAAAGCATTTATCTCATCATAAAATGCATTAGCATTTTTCAGTGACTGAACAAGAAATTGTCCTTTGTTGGCTAGCTTCTTGCATTTGAGAGTGTTGGTCCTACATATGTAATACCTTGGGAATTTTTCAGCATTCACTGTATCTCTATTCCTTACAAATCATGGAACTACTAAGATATTACACAAAATTTTTTCCCACTAACAAATGTGTAAATGGATAAAGGAGCTCATGAGATAATCACTTGTAAACTTAGATTTTTGAGGATTATGTGACTCTAGTAATAAATCAAATAAAATTTTTAAATAGATATTGATAACATTTTATCTGCTATCATCTCTATAAAAACAATTTCTTGCAGAATCACTACATAAAAATTAAATGCAAGTCTAATAAGAAAGGTACTAATAGATGGCTAATAAATACATAAATGTTCAGTGTCATTGAACTACAGAGAAGCTGGAGGAATGGAGCACAATGCAGAGAAAAGAATGAAGCAGTCTGTAAAGCTCACCCCAGTTCCCAAGGAAGGGGGGCCTGTTTCTACAGACACAAGGTAAGTCCAGAGGATCAAAAGCTGTAGGGAAAAAACATCAGACCAGCTCAGCAACACTAGCCCCAAGAAAAGTCCATGGCTATTTTAAACTGCAAAAATGGGTTTTATTCTGAAAGTGGTTCCTTCTGCACAGCAGGCTAGAGTTAGAGAAGAAATCCAGTGTATATGAGAGAGTTTAATCAGGAACCATTTGAGGGAGAGGTTATTTTAAGACTGGGCCACAGAACAACTTTACTTCAGGGTTTCTAGTATTATCCTACCACAGTGACTGAGAGATGGCCACAAGTGACATTACTGGAGAGGGTGCAGGCTAGACACAGACCCCTTGAGAAATTAAAGCTCAGGCCAGGAATAACACGGGCCTGCCCCCTGTGGTGAGAATCCAGACCCAGTGTGTAGCTTTCAGAGGGTACTGGGTCTGAAAGTATTGAGATTAAGTCTACTGATCTACTTGAACCCTTGCCATCCTGCCTGCATCAAGTACAGAGATCAGTAGTCTGATTGTTTTCCCCATCTGCTAGTGGGAACAAGGACATGACTCAGATTGGCCAATTGCCACAGCCTGAGGTGATGGACAGAGGGGCTGCTGGAGCAGGGGGGCCACCTCACAAACCCACAGGCTATAAAGCTAGGTGGATCCTTTTTCTGCATCTAATGAGATGATCATATGGTTTTTGTCCTCGACTCTATTGATACAGTGTATTACATTTATTGATTTGCATATGTTGAACCATCTCTGCATCCCTGGGATGAATCACACTTGGTCAGGGTGTATGATCTTCTTGATAATCTGCATTCTGTTTGCCAGTATCTTACTGAGGATTTTTGCATCTATGTTCCTTAGGGAGATTCTCTATTTTTGATTGGGTCTTTGCTTTGGAGGTCAAGGTGATGCCTGTTTCCAGGAATGAATTTAGGAGTATTGCTTCCCTTTCAATCTCATTAAAGAGTTTGAAGAGTAGCGGCATTAGCTCTTCTCTAAATTTGTAGAATTCAGCAATGAAGCAATCAGGACCTTTGCTTTTCTTTGTTGGTAAGTTTTTAATTACATTTTCTATTTCATTGATTGATGGTGGGTTGTTTAGAATTTTTGTATCTTCATTCAATTTTGATAATTCATGTATTTAGAAATCTATTCTGTGTTTTCCATCTTATTGGAGTACAGGTTCTCAAAGTAAGTATTGATGATCCTCTGGATTTTTGCTGGATCTATTATAATTTCACCCTTTTCATTTCTAGTTGCATGGATTTGGGCCTTTGTTTGATAAGGTTGACTAAGAGTTTATCGATTTTGTTTATTCTTTCGAAGAAGCAACTCTGATTTGCTAATTTTTTTGTATTGTTACGAAAAGCTGTTCAACATCACTGGTCATTCAATAGATGCAAATGAAAACAGTGCTGAGATTCTACCTCACTCCAGAAAGAAGGGCTGATATCAAGAAATCAACCAATTTTCTGATATCTTCAATCTCTTTTCTCAGAGTGCTATATTTTCAGAGTAGAGTCTTTGATTTCTTTTGTTAGGTTGATTCCTAGGTATTTCAATTAAATGGGTGCACACTGAAGCAATACTCTTAAGTGAAATAAATAGGACACGTGTAAATACCGAATGGTTTCTCTGGTGTGAGAAACAAAGTGTAAATAAGGACTAAAAGGTATAATAGATAATGTGAAATAGGAAGAAAAGGGGCAAAGGGGATGGGGAAGTGGGAGG